GTGTGTGTGGTGGGAGTTCACTGGGGTGGACATGTGTGGGTGTAGCTGTGCATATGGAGATAATGGTTGACAACTAGCTATCTTCATTTATGCCTCTCCACTTTCTTCACTTTATTTTATTTTTAAGAATTTTCTTACGGGGGTTGGAGAGATGGCTCAGTGTTTAAGAACACTTGCTGTTCTTCCAGAAGACCGGGGTTTGATTCCCAGCACCTACATGGCAACTAACAACTGTCCATAACTCCAGTTTCAGGGGATCTGAAGCCCTCTTCTGACCTCTGAGGGCATTACACGACACGGGTGCACTTATATGCATACAGGCAATACACTCATACACATAAAATAAAAATTATAATTAAAAAAATTTTATGTGTATGAGTGTTTTGCCTGTGTATATGTAAGTGTACCATATGTGTACAACACCCATGGAGGTCAGAAGAGGGCATCCAATCCCCTTGAATTGGAGTTAGAGATGGCTGTTAGCCACCATGTGGGGGCTGGGGACTGAACCTGGCTCCTCTGCAAGAGCAGCCAGTGCTCTTAACCACTGAGCCGTCTATCTCCCCACTTTATTTACTGAGGTAGGATCATTTGCTGAACACAGAACTTGCCAATTCAAGTAGTCAAGCTTGACAATCTGCCACAGACCATGCTGTCTCTGCCTCCCAAGCACTGAGATTACAGATGGGCCACCACACCTACTTGGCTTTTACTTGGGTTCTGGGGATCTGAATTCTGGTCCTTATGCTTGTGAAGCAAGAGCTTAATTCACTGAAATATCTCCCCAGCTATGTATTTAGTTTTGTAGGAAGACAAAATATGTAGGAGACAAAATCTCAGGAATTGCAAAAGTAAATTTATTAGGTTTTCTACCAATATGTTAAACAAAAAAGAAAAACCTAACAACTTCTTTTGGAGACAAAATGAAAAGATTTAGAGTTAACTCTGTAAATATAAATTTAAGTGAGAAGCTAGTATAGCTTTTGAATATGATTGGGTCACTACAGATCATACTAATATGGAATCAGTTTGTGGTGAACCTGTTTGTGATTATGATACTGAGAGTTTTAAGGTCAGTAACATGTCTATATTCTCACCAATTAATATTTTATGTTAGCAAATATTTAGCTACAGTAAAATTCATTATAGCATTGTTTATACTAGAAAAGTCTGGAAACAACAGACTAGTCAATTGGGATTGGTGAACTGTCTCATCATAAATATGATACATATTTAACATGCACATTAGAAATGATAGAGGACTGGTTATATGGACACATGTTTTCCATAAATCATGAGGAGAAGAAAAAAACAAAACAGGTCTCAAAGCAAAATGGGCCCTACGATCATTTTTTGCTAATTTTAAGAAATAAAAATTAAATATATATACATATATATATACACACACACATATGTACTTGAAGTTGTAAACAACCTTAAAAACCTCTAAATGTGGGGCTGGAGAGATGGCTCAATGGTTAAGAACACTGGTTGTTCTTGCAGAAGACCCGGGTTTGAATCCTAGCATCCACATGGCAGCTAACAACTGTCCGTAACTCCAGTTCCAGAGGATCTGACGGCCTCTTCTGTCCTCCGTGGGCATTGCACGACACTGGTGCACTTACCTACATGCAGGCAATACACTCACACACATAAAAAAAATTTTTTTTAAATCTCTAAATGTGAGTTTAGCATAGGCTAAAGGGGCTAGCAGGTACATAGGAAGGTCTTAAACCACTCATTTTTCTACCTAGACATCAAAGAGAAGAAATTCTTTGTAGAGTTCTGATCAAGTTCAGAGCCTACAGGGAAGTATGATGTCAGTAAACTATAGAATGCCCTTAAGTGTAAAGGACTATTTCAATACAATTCGATGTTGTATGCTTTATGGCCCTATAACTCCAATACGTACACACACACATGCATACTCCATGACTCTAGCTCTGCTCACTGCAGAAAGACTTTTTTTTTTTTTTTTTTTTTTTAATTTTTTTGAGACAGGGTCTCCCTGTAGTCCCAGTTGGCCTGGAACTCACTATGTAGACCAGCCTGGCCTCAAACTCAGAGATCCACCTGCATCTGCCTCCCAAGTGCTGGGACTACAGGGGTGTGCCACCACACCCAGCCTTAAATTACTTTTATAAGGAAAAGAATAATAAACATCTGCCTGCCTTTAATCCCACCACTCAGTGAGGCTGAGGCAGGAGCCTCACAAGTCAGAGGCTATCCTGTGCTAGGCTATATAAAGAGATTCTGTCAGGATGGAGCAAGGGGAATCATTGAGTAGTAAATATATAGAATTTTCCTAACTTTAGAATGTAGATGCCACATGAGTCAAAGGAACAAATAGTTCAAAGAATGAAATTAATTGAAATACATTTACGGTAAATAATTCCTAAAAAGTAAATGTTTAAAGAATGTCTCAAATGTGCTTGATGTTGCTATATGTTCTACTTTGCCTTCAATTGCAAAACACTCTGTGACAAAACACTCTGACCAATACTAACTTGGGGAGGAAAGGGTTCATTTGGCTCACATCTCCCAGGTCACAGTTCATCAGTGGGCCCAAGGCAGGAACTCAAGGCAGGAACTTGGAGGCAGGAGCTAAAGCACAAGTCATGGAGGGATGCTACTTTTTTGGCCGGTTTGAAACAGGGTCTCCCTGTAGGCCCCAACTGTCCTGGAACTGACTATGAAGACCAGGCTGGCCTGGAACTCACAGAGCTCCGCCTGCCTCTGCCTCCTAAGTGCTGGGATTAAAGGCGTGTGCCACCACGCCCGGCAATTTCGTTTTTAAAGGCATATATTTTACTTTTGTGTTTAAGTGTGTGGGTATGAGCTCCTGAGTCCAAGGCCTTGGGGCCCCTGAAGCTGGAGTTACAAGCGGTTTTGAGCCACTCGATATGGGTGCTGCGGATGAACTCAGGTCTTCTGCAAAAGCTGTACGCACATACTCTTGTACCCTTTGCATCAATACTGTGGTTTTCAATATGACCAAAACATGATTTATTTGGGGCAGGGTATAACAACCTTTACTATGCGCAATTTTCTCACGGTTAACTTTTTCTCTTCATTACATCACTAACATTGCTTATGAAACATTCTTTAAGCGTACTCCTAGAGCCATGCATATAGTGAGACCAACGTCAGGTTGTTCTTGAATCTGAAAGATCACAGGGGAAGGAGTGGGTTCGCAGCACTGGATGGAGCGCAAATTCCAATCAGGAGTGATTCGCTGGGCCCTTCTGAATCAGAAGCCCTAACCCTAAACCCGCTCGCCCACAGCGGCTTCTCTCTCTGCATCCGAGGGGCCAACCGCTTGTCAGCAGAAACTGCACTGGAAAAGGACGGCGCCAGGGAGGGACCTGCAGATAGATCAAAGGTTAAAAAAGCCTCAAACTAGGAGTAAAAGTCAATACCCAACTCCCGAGGAAAACAGAAGCTTCCATTTACAAAGAAAACGAGAGTGACCGCTCCCTAACGCGCTCTCCAGAGGCGCAATGTGGCACAGCCCACTGGACCTGAAGTGACTAACAGGTAGCAAGAGCCGAACACCAAGCCGCCGGAAGTGGACCCGAGCCCGGGGCCGGGGTGAGGGCAGGCCGCGCCAGGCGTGCGCTGTCAGTAGACATCACAGGGCGCCGGCGCAGCTGGGTGCTGACGGGTGACGCTCGGAGCGTGGGCCGCGAGTTACGCGGCCGCCGACCCTGCGTAGCGAGCGTCGGAGATCCCTTTCCCAGAGTGCTCTGCGCCGTGAAGAAGCGGCTCCCGGGGACTGGGGGCATTTTGTGTTGGCTGGAGCTGGAGGAACAAGATGGCGGCGTCGGCGGAGTGACGGGTCCCTGCGGGCCGGAGCCGGCGGCAGTGGTGGCAGCGGTACCTCCGCCCTAACCCACTGAGTCCCTTTCCAGTCCCCACATCGCTGTGAGAGCGAGCAAGCGAGCGGCAGCCGCCCAGAACGCAGCGGCCGAGCCTCAGTCATCGCGACCACCCGCGCCAACGGCGGCCTGGCCCAGACCTAGCCGAGCCAGCGGGCTTCTCTCGACCGCCTCTGCCCTGTGAGGCCCGGAAAGCCTCGGTTCCGCGTCTTCTGCCGCCCTCCGCAGCCCGGGAGACTCCCACCCTCCCCGTCGAGGTGTCGGGGCTCGGCCCCAGCCTCCATCTTCGCGTCTCAGGATGGCGAGCAGCAGCGGCTCCAAGGCCGAATTCATCGTCGGAGGGAAATATAAACTGGTGCGGAAGATCGGATCTGGCTCCTTCGGGGACATTTATCTGGCGATCAACATCACCAATGGCGAGGTAATCACCCGCTGTGTGGGGGACGGTCGTTAACGCTCAGTTTTTTTTTTTCACCCCACTCCCCCAAATGCTTTGGCCTCTTTCCCTGCGTGCACTCACGCACTGGGGAGTCCAGAGCAAGCCAGATTCCTGCCTCAGCAGCCTCCCCCGCCATTTCCCTAAAAGGGAAAAACCCCATAGAAAGGTTGGGTAAACTCTTGAGGTTCCCAGCTTCTTCCAAATGCCCCTTTTAGCCGTTATTTAAAGGGAGCCGGGCAAAGTCGTGTGACTCCCCATGATTCTTTGTATTTTCTATATTTAATCCTGGGGTTCTTGTTCCGTTTAGAACAGTTTCCTTCACAATCTCGCCATGCTTTCAGAGGTTGCCTCTGTTAGGATAAATGGTTTCCCCTCACTCTAGAGGACGAGAGGATTTCGTTATGGTCCCCTGAAATGGCTTTTGAGGCTGATTGTTCTGTAGTTAAGAGCTAGCTTTTTTACTCCCTCCTTTCACTTCCTTGTAGTGGCGATTTGAAGCCTTGCTAATGTCTTATTTCCCAAGCGACTTTGAATCTTTAGGGATGTTGATGCCATCATCCCATCTTTCCCCTGCAGGAAGTGGCAGTGAAGCTAGAGTCGCAGAAGGCCAGGCACCCCCAGTTGCTGTACGAGAGCAAACTCTATAAGATTCTTCAAGGTGGGGTTGGCATCCCCCACATACGGTAAGAACCCTTTAAGCACATAGAGGTCACAGAGGGACTACCAAATGGGGAAACGGATAGAGGCAGGTAATGGGACCAGCCGAATCCGGGTCTTGGTATTGAGTTTCCAAGGTTCCACCCAGGAAGTCACTGTAATCACTGAATAAATTTTAGCCCATTTGGTTGGAAATTTGTTACACTGCCCCATTTATTTAGGTTCTGTCATTTTTCCTCTTCCCGAGGCATTCATTTGCATTTAAGTATGCAGGTCGTCTCTGATCCCTGCGCGAGGGGTTGACTTCTGCTCTTTACTGCGGCCCCTTTGATATTCGTTTTTTTGTCCACTGAAGTGGATTGGAAGTGCGGATGTGACCGAGCTTAGTTCGGGTTGCTCTCCGAGCTGGCCTGGGAAATGGCTGCTCTTTTGTTGTGTTTTTGTTCCAACATGTCTTCCTCCTCCGCTTAGAAAATGGCGGAACGACGTGACTCAACCCCATATTCCTGCCCCTTTCTCAGCTTGGGTCCACAAGTAAGGCTTCCTTGACTTCCCTTTATCAGCCTTAAGTGGATAAATCCTTTGAAAAGCCAAAAGTAAAGCTTCATAAGGCGGTGAGATGCTGGGAAGGGGATGGTAAGACAGTATGTGATCTCTGTAGCAGATGCGACATAAAATTGTGGAATCCTTCTAATCTAAAATTCTTCATACTCCTGGCCAGGGTGTTAATTACCTTTTGCTTTTGTGAATGGTAGTGTTTGGTACGTTTCAGTTTGTACTAAGTTTTTATGGGTAATGGCAAAGGCAGTTTGAACAGCACCAACTGAAATCTGGTCAGCTGTATAAAAGAAAGCTGCGCTTAACTTGCAGTTTGTTAAGTAGTTCAACCTGTTGAGTTATTTTGTCAGTAACACAGAGGAAGTTGTGATTTGGGAGGGTGATGCGAGATTGGTGAATACAAATAGAAACAATTACCAGAATGAACAATGACTGTCTAAAATCATTGCTCTCTTTGAAGTGGATATTGTAAAGAGCTTTGGGTTAATTTTACTTTTGAGATTAAAGAAGCTTTATAGAGACTAAAAGTCTAGCTTGAAACCACCATTTTCCAACAGTACTCAAAGGAAACATTTACAGAATAGTTGAGTATTGAATTCAATGATACATACTGTCTTCTATTCCAGTTTCCATACTTTAAGCAAAGTAGTGGGTGACATTCAACCAAAATAACTCTTCTCTAACATGAAGGAAGATAGTAGACCAGCCTCCTCCCCATTTGCGCCCATCGCTATAGTTTTTCCTGGAATTTCTTAAAAGTAGAATCATCCAGCATGAGGTCCTTTGCTTTTGGCATCTGTCATATAATACTTTTAAGATTGATCTGTATTGGGAGATTTAGTGTGTTTGAAGTATTTTCATTGTTAAACTGAAGTTAATATTCTTTTTTCTGGTAGAGTTATTATTTGAAGACAGTACAGATACAGATCAATAAGGGCAATGAGTAATATACTGAATGAGCACATGAATAAATTAATGTGTGAGCAGACTAGTAGATTAAGGCTTCCTGGGAAAGGAGGTGAGATTTCAAGAAGAAAGGTTGGTGAACTGGTTAGGGAGGACATCCAAAATAGAGTGGCTTCTGGGAGTGGTTCCTAAGGCAGACTGTGGTAATTAGGTAAGGGTGGGGAAAGTGTACATTCATTTCAGCACTGATAGGGACAAGTACATTGAAACAAATATAGTTTGTTGGTTTTAAAGGGAAGCCTGAAAGGACAGCGTTTTGTTTTGAAGTCTGTAAGCGATTTCCATGTTTTTTGTTTTGGTGGCAGCATCTTCCTATTTATAGTATACTCGCTGTATCTGTCTTTTTTTTTTTCCTTTTTGAGACAGGGTCTCCCTGTAGTCCCACCTGACCTGAACTCACTATGTAGACCCAGCTGGCCTTGAACACACAGCGATCTGATCCACCTGCCTCCGCCTCCCAGTGCTGGGACTAAAGGCATGTGCTACCACGCCCAGCTGTATCTTTTATACATAGTGTATATTGAATAAATATTTGCTTGGTAAATAGTTGATTAGTTTAATTTAAATAGGAAAGTATATCTACTAATTGACACTAATGTAAAAATGAAGTTTTGCCACATTTACCCATCCTTCACACACACCCTTCCATACTTAGGTTTATGCACACACAATCTGTTTATAGGATTTGTTTTAAGATATTCTGGGATATCCTAAAACAAGGACTCAAAATTAGCTGGCATACATAGGTAACTTCCTTCTTCCTATTTGAGGGAAGAGTTTGGAGGACTAATTAAGTAGAAGTATAGCCTCCAGTGTAAAGATCAAGGGTGAAAGGATGGCATCTAATTGCGTAGTATTATAAGAAACTAAATCCTTGCCCCTTGTAAATGGACAACTGAAAGCTCACCTAAAATTACTATTTCTGTATGCTACTCTGAATTGAATTAACATTCTGTAAAGAAAAAAATCCCAGCACTAGGAGACAAATGTCTGAGTTTGAGGCAAGCCTGGTCTACATAGTTCCAGGCTGGCCAATGCTAAATAGTAAGAAAGAAAGAAAAAATTATGTTAAACAGAAAGAGTACTTATCTAATCAGTGCTGTTAGATTTTGGATGTTTGAGCATTGTATCTGCTGTGTGGTATTGACTGGTCATCTAGGGTCAGTTAGCCCCTTAAACCTGTATGAGGCCTATCAGCTTCCTCATCTATATAACAAAACTTACTAATTTTTTAGTTTTGTTGGAGTGGGAAACTACTGAATAGAAATATTTGTGGTGGTGGGAGGACAACTAGAGATTTTTCTGGTTAAGAACACTTTCTGCTTTTCCAAAGGACAGGAGTTGGGGTTCTAAGTGCCCTAGTCAGGTGGCTTACAACTGCCCTCATAAGGCCTCTGAGGGTACTTGTGCACATGACAAACGGATACACACAGACTTTTTAAAAATTCTTTAAAAAAAAAATCTAAATGTGGGAGGTAGGGCATGGTGGTACACGCCTTTAGTCCCACCATTTGGGAGACAGAGGCAGGTGGATCTCTGAGTTCGATCCAGCCTGGTCTACATAGTGAGTTCCAGGCCAGTTAGGGGCTACAGGGAAACCCTGTCTCAAAAAGACAAAAAAAAAATCTAAGTCTAAATGTTTGGGAATTTTACTCTTTGCTGGGGGTGGGGAACCTTATTTCCACTTGTTTTATGTGCTGAGCTTTTGGGTAGGGCTATGTATGAACAAGGAGTCCCTTAACTAAAAAGCTCTTGCCTAGTTAATCTTAGACCTTTTGGTTCTGGACCTTTTTTAAAAAATATATTTTATTTAGTTTTTTATTTTTGTGTATGAATGTATTGCATGCAAGTATTTTATGTTCACCCATGTCAGGCAGTGCCCATGGAGGTCAGAAGAGGACATCAGGTCTCCTGGAATTGGAGTTACCAACAGTTGTTAGCTGTCATGTGGCCCCTCAGTTCTGGATTTGTAAGACCTGTTTGAGAGGATAACTGCGCAGGCCTTTTATCAGCATTTGATACGTATATAGAGCTTACCATTAAATATTATTTTATCAAGCAGTACTATACAAGATTTTAGAAATGTCATCTGTTTCTGGAAAATTATAGCCATGTAAAAGAACAGTAGAATATACTTTTATAGGAAAATCATGTATAAGATTAGGGGTATGGAAGAGTTGCTCTTCCCTTGGTATTTTGTTTTTTGTTTTTGAGACAGGGTCTCACTTACGTGTACTAGACTGACCTTGAACTTAAGATCTGCCACTGCCTCCTGAGTGCCGGGACCAAAGGCGTGGGACACCATCCCTGGCTTTTTGGTTTTTATCCACAACTGTTTGCCCTATTAGGATGTCAAATATTTTAGAAAATATTTACAAAATACTAGTTAATCCTTTTCACTGTTAAATGCAGCTTATAATACCCGGTGTGTTGGCATATCTTTTTAGTCCCAGCACTTGTGAGGCTGAAGCAGGCAGAGCTCTAGAGTTTGAGGCCAGTGTGGTTAAAAAAAAAAAAAAAAGCAGCAGCAGCTTAAGCAATTTTCAATTTTTTTTTTTTGGCACTAAGCATATAGCTTATGAATAATGAATAAGGTTATAACACTATTATCAGAGAAGAAAACAACTGTTGAATATGTTACCAATCACTAGATGCATAAGACGTGACTTCTCTCGAAGTGTAAAATTGAGTTCACAGTATGCTAGAAAGTATGCTATTAGTTTATGAGATAAAGCTGGGTATTATTTTTGAGCTTAACAAAACCCTAGGAGATGTATAAAGCCCAATCATCATTCAAACTAGACTGTTGAATCCCCAGAGGAGTCTTCTGAATCCCAGTTCTCCTGAGCCATTATCACCTTGATGTCAAGGTCATATCATGCCTGCTCACATACTCTACACCTTTCAATTTGATAATGGAAGAACCATATTTAGCTTCTTCATTGAATAAATATTCAGAATTATACCCTCCCTACCCACACACATTGAATTTTTTTTTTAATTTTTAAATTTTTTATGTATTTTGCCTGCTTGTATATAAGTGCACCCATGTGTGCAGTGCTCACAGAGGCCAGAAGAGGGTGTAAGATCCCCTGGAACTGTAGTTACAGGTGATTGTTAGCCACCATCTGGGTGTTAGAACTGAACCCAGGTCCTCTGCAAGGGAAGCCAGTACTCTTAACCACTGAACCATCTTTCCAGCCCTGGGTGTCTCTTTTTAAAAAATAATATGTATATGAGTGGTTGTCTGCTTGTATATATGTGTGCCACATGTGCCTGGTGTCCAAAAGGCTTGAAGAGAATGTCAGATCACCTGAACTTGGACTCACCGACCATTGTGAACTGCCGTGTGGGTGGGTGCTGGCTACTGAACCTAGGTCCTCTGCAAGAACAGCAACCACTGAACCATCTCTCCCGCCCCTTTGGTGGCTCTTAACTATTTATGCAGCCAGTATTAGCCAGCATGAACTGATACATGGCTTAATGGAATTCTTAAAAGTTG